CGCGTCCTGACCTTCGTCCTCCGCAGATGACCTGGCCGACGAGATGGAGGACGTGGACTTTGACGACGAGGGGGCAGAAGAGCCCGACGCCGAGGCTTGGGAGACTGAGGACGATGAGGGGGTGGAGGACGGCATGGAGGCGCAGGACGACAGCGAGGTCACGTTCTCCCTCCACTCGGGTGAGTGGTGGGCACGGGCAGGGGCCCCTGGGGTCCCCCTCGGGACCTGCTCCCACCCTGGTTTTCCCCAGAGTAAGGGGGTGCAGCAGGTCCTTGCCGGGCTGCCGTCTCCTGGCCGTTCCAGGGACAGCCGTCACGACTCAGGGCTGCCTTGGGCTGTGATCATTTCTACCTTACACTCCAGTAGAGAAGCCCTTCGAGCCTCCTACCGCGGCGGCTCGCCCTGAGCTCGGCACCAGCCTGCGCTGCTCCTCCCTTGCGGGAAGAGTTGATTCCCACTAGTTTGAGTTTGGGAGTTCAGCTAGCTGACATCCCACCCAGACCCAGGGCTGCGTGGGGTTTGGATCCCCAGGGAACGTCAGGTGGGGCGTGAGCGGTGTCTGAGCTGCGTAGCCTCTCTTTACTCTTCTGTGAAGCTTCTGTTTTCTGCGTGAGCCTCGACCCCAAGACCAACACACTGGCGGTGACGGGTGGGGAGGATGACAAGGCCTTTGTGTGGCGCGTGAGCGATGGAGAGCTCCTGTTTGAATGCTCAGGTGAGGTGCTCAAGGCTGTACGAGTGAGTGGCCATGTCCCCTTCCAGCCACATCTCTCCGGACATGCTTTTCCCTAGCCGATGCTCTGCTGGAGCTGGGCTCCTGACCGTCCTCCGTAGTTTGGCCTGAGCAGTCTCTGTCCCCTGACAACTTTAGGACACAAGGACTCGGTCACCTGTGCTGGCTTCAGTCATGACTCCGTGTTTGTGGCCACGGGTGACATGTCTGGGCTTATCAAAGTGTGGCGGGTGGACACCAAGGAAGAAGTGTGGTCCTTTGAGGTGGGGGACTTGGAGGTGAGCAGCAGGACCCCTGGTGCCATGGGAAGTTTGTGGGCCCCGGCAGCTGGGACTCAGCTGGGTGGCAGGGAGGACACCGCTCCTGTGACACTGCCTGTCCCTCTCTCTGCCCAGTGGATGGAGTGGCACCCTCAAGCCCATGTCCTTCTGGCGGGCACAGCTGATGGCAACTCCTGGATGTGGAAGATCCCCAGCGGAGACTGCAAAACTTTCCAGGGCCCAGCATGCCCGGCCACATGTGGCAGGATCCTGCCTGACGGTGAGGCACGGGAGCTGTCTGGGGTAGGGAATGTCATCAGCTCTGTGACAGATGCCACCGCCACCATCTGCCCTCCTGCTTCTGCCAGTCTGTGCTGAGTGGGAGGTGGAGGGATGAGGGGAGCACTGGCTGTATCCGCTGGCTCTGTCTCACCCAGGGAAGCGAGCGGTGGTGGGATATGAGGACGGCACCATGCGCATCTGGGACCTGAAGCAGGGAACCTCACTGCATGTCCTGAAAGGTAGGGAAGAGGTTAATCACGTGGGATGCTCCCTAATTGGCAAACAGCCCCTTCCAATGGGCTCTGATGTCTCCCTGGGTGGAGAGGTGGCACTGGAGGAGCCTGGCGCTGGATTTCCATGCCCCCACAGGTGGCTCCTCCTTGCCATCGGGATGCTGGCAGAGCTGGGCAAGGTGGTGGCTGCAGGAGGGTGGGTTTTGAGGCTCACCAGGTCTCTGTGGGGAGGACATGTGGAACTCATGCCTCTCCTGCCTGCCCCCCAGGCCAGGATGGCCACCAGGACCCCTTGACGTGTGTGGCCAGCAACCAGGACGGCAGTTTGATCATGACAGGCTCTGTGGACTGTCACGCCAAGCTGGTCAACTCCTCCACGGGCAAGGTGGGTCCGTGCTGGCTGGGGCAGAGCCAGGAGCCCCGGGGGACGGGGGTAACAGCCTTCCAAGCCCCTGTCCTGGGCCAGGCCGGTGTGCCCGGGTGGTTCGGGCTCCGCTGGCCCCGAGCAGCCTGTGGTGGCCACCGGCAGCCAGCGGGAGGCGCCCTTGGCCAACACAACGGCTTCCTCCCAGCTACGGGTCGGACCCGCGGCTGGGGGGGGTCCCGCGGGGCTCATAGAAGGAAGTTCCCCGCCTTGTTTGCTCCGAGGAGCCGAGGTTTTGGGGCCGGGCCTTGGTGTCCAGGGGGTGTAAGGCTCGATCCCGGGTAAGGAAGGGGACCTCGGTACGACTGGGGGTCCCCTTCCCTTCCTCGTCGGCCTCCCTCCCCCCAGGTGGTGTGTGTGTTCAAGATGGAGAGCATGGCCCCCAGGGCCCCCACCGGCGAGGGTGAGGAGGCCGAGTCCAACTCGGTGGAGTCACTGGGCTTCTGTAATGTGTGAGTGTGGGGACACGTGGCCTGGGGGTGACAGTCCCTTTTCAGTGCCAGACCTTACAGGGGGGATGTTTGTTACTAACAGACCTGTTTCCATCCCTCGTGCTTGCTCTGCTCTCACCTCATCCTCCCCAGCTGGCTGTGGGTATTCTGGGTTACTTCTGTGTGACAGGGAAGTCACACTCAGACCCTTCCCCTCAACCTGTTTGGTTTCTGGGCTAGCCTGATGGACCACTGTTTGGCTGGGATACCCTCCAGACAGGCCTGCTGGGGATCTTTGCTACCAGGACATTGTCTTCTCCCGTGTGAACCTTGTGCCCCTTGCTGGCTCTTACTGTCCTGTTGGTTTCCTGAACTGAGATGTTTCATGGCTCCGGTCATTGGGTTGTCCCTCATTTTCTCAACGCGCTTTGCCTTCAGCCTTGATCCTTCATGTGTTTCCAGCCCTGTGTAACGCCTGTTCCCCTCTCTGCAGGATGCCACTGGCTGCTGTGGGCTACCTGGACGGCACGCTGGCTATCTATGACCTCTCGACACAAAGCTTGAGGCATAAGTGCCAACACGAGGTACTGCCCTACCCCCCTCTCCCCAGGCCTGGGGGGTGTCTCTGGGCCCATCCAAGACCTCCCTTGGAGCCCAGGGGCTTTCCTGGGGCCAGTTCCCAATTTGTGCTTCTCTCTCAGCCTCTTGGGCTTCCCCAAAGGCAGCCGCAGTCCCTGCACAGAGGATGTGCCTCATAGCTTGGTCCTGGGGCCTGGCTCTCCTATCTGTGGGGATGGCAGACAATGCTGGGGGGGGGGTGGCATGTGGAGGGATCTGAGACTTGCTGGGTGTCCCCAGTACTCACCTTGTGGCCTCCTCCTGCCCCAGTCAGGGATTGTGCAGTTGCTGTGGGAGGAGAGCTCAGCCGTGGTGTACACCTGCAGCCTGGACGGGGCTGTGCGGCTCTGGGATGCCCGCTCGGGGAAGATGATCAGCGAGTACCGAGGGCACTCAGCCGAAATCCTCGACTTTGCTGTCAACAAGTGAGCAGGGAATCCCTAGACCCCTTCCCTGCTGGGTGGAGGGACCAGGGCTGGCAGGGGCCTCCAGCCTCAGGAACTCAAATCATGAGCTGTTGCTCTCTTTTGGGTGTCCCTGGGGTCTGGTCCCAAGGGAGGGGACAGACCCAGGTCTGTGCTGAGACTTGAGGGTCTCAAGGGGGAGTGGGGCATATCAGAGCTGGGCCAGGGGGTTTGGTGAGGGATGTCCAAAGCCCCCCAGCCCTGTTTCTGAGCCCTGTCTCCTCCCAGGGATGCCTCCATTGTGGTGACGACCTCTGGTGACCACCAAGCCAAAGTGTTCTGTGTCCAGCGCCCCGATCGCTAGGAACTGTGCTAAGGGATGGTGTCCTGGCTCTGCCAGGTGGCTCGTGTACAGAGGGATGAGGGAGATGGGTTTCACCACCCTTTTCCAGTGCGTGCTTTGTAATTTTCCAGCCTGCCCTGCTTTGCCCTCGCCATCTGGGGGCCAAGTCTGGGGTTTTGTATGAAAATGTCTTTTAATTATATAAATTATTTCACTTAACTGGATGCCATCCACTCTGCTTGTTGGGGGGGAAGAGGACCTGGGGAGCTGTGCTCCCTCCCTCCTCAGGGATCTCCCCAGCATCCAACCATGGCCTGAGGAGCAATGGCAGACAGTTTTATGCTGGGCTGGGTGGAGGCAGAGACCCCCATCCTAGCTCTCCCTGTTAGGTGGAAATGAGGGGTCGGGGTAGGAAGGAAGGGTGCAGTTTGCTAGCTGAGGGTAGAATCCTGCTCTGTGCAGCCCAGGAGTTCCTGAACACAATAGGCTACTCACTCCTAGACCTGGGCACAGCCCCCACTTCAGCCCCCAAGACAGAGGCCACCAGAAGTAATTTGCTCCAGGATACAGTACTGCACCTGTGACTCCAAACACCCCTTCCAGGGCAAGGCCACATGCATTGACAAGCCAAAGCCCCACAGCCCTTTAAGATAGAAAGATCTCCTTTATTAATGAACCCCAACAGTATTTCTTCAGATACAGGAGTTTTGAACTCAAATACTCAGAAGAAAACAAGTTAATATTGCATTATTCTCATAAGAAATACTGCAACTTATTTCCGGTAACATATTGCAAAGCGAAACAGCTTGAAAAGAAAAAAAAAAATTAAAAAAGAAAAGAAATTAAGTCAATCAAACTGGAATTAAGGTTTTGTTTCTTGGAACGATCCGAGTCCTCGCAAGCACAGCTCGTTTCTGCAGATTACTCCCCAAACTGTCGTACAAACAGACCCCGATTGCTTGAATTCCTTATGAGCCCACAGAGGTGCAACATTAAAAGCTACGATTATCGGGTAGCAAGTGCCCCAACCTTCGTCCTCCACTGCAGCCTCAGTGAACCTGGCGTTAACGGGTTGTGAACGTCTTCCCCCTGAAAGGATGCAGAGAGAGGTCAGCGCAGCCCCCAGCACTGTTCTGGGGTGCCCCAGGGTGGCTACGGGGCTTTTGGTGGGGCACATGCTTGCACTGAGCTCTCAAAGCCAGGCAGGCACTGCTGGTTCAGAGCTCGCAGGCATTTGTGGCTGCAGAACCAGGTCATGGGGCTGTGGGGAAGGGTTGGCTTTTGCAGAGGGGACAACCCCACTGCCCTAGAGCAGAACGCAAAGGGGGGCATGCCAGGACACACAGAAAAAGGATGCCAAGGAGCTCTGGGATCAGCAGAGGGTAAAGGACCTGAGGGAAACATGTTCACACAACTGCTCTCCACCCACTTTGCTCTGGGCTGCTTTATTCCCAAGAGGGAGCCAGCCAGCTAGCACGGTGGCCCAGGAGCGCTCCTGGCCCCAGCCATCTGCTGGCCAAGGGCAGCCAGGGACTCCAAGGAGCAGCAGATGCACCAGGCAGCAGAAACCTGCTCCAGTGCCCACAAACCCCCAGGAAGGACCTGGCCACTCTCCCCTGTGAGCTGGAGCTGCCCCCAGAGGTGATCAGCCAGCTTTAATATAACAGGGGAAAAGCCCCATGAACACCACTACGGGCTCGGGGGACGACGACAATGGAGACACCAGGGCTCACAAAGCCGTGTACGAGCCTTCTTTCACAAAGGACCTGCCAGCACAGGGTTTGCCACAGACCCAGCTCCTACAAAGGACACGTGAGGCAGTGAATGAGTGTGGTGGAGGGAGCACAGGGGTCCTGAGAGGCCAACATGCCCTGATCCAGGCTTTCGCCTCAAGGCACCCAGGCAAGCACCTTGCTATGAAACACCCCCTTTCTCTCTCAGATGGGGTCCCAGCACATCAGGCCCTGGTCTGGTCACCCCCACAGCATCCCAGTCCTCCCTGGACTGGAGTATGCCAAGCTGAGAAGGAGCAAGCTCATGGCTGGCAGAGAAGCCCAGAGAGCCAAGCCCTGCTTTCCTACTCACGTGATTGTTTTCATTTCTTTCTTCTCTGCATCTGGACGGGCACGGTTCAGCACCTTGAGGAAATCCGATGTTTTTGCCCTCATACGTGTGTGAATATAGGCCTGCGTTTCATTAGGACAAAATGGGGATGGGTCAGGATCCTTCCTTCATAGCTGAGATTTCAGGACACAGGGTAGGAGCTATTTTTCCCTTCCTTGTTGGGAAAGCACGTAGCTCTGCACAGCCATGGTGCTATGACGGGAGTTCAGGAGGCAACAGTGAAAATTGCTGTCTAAGCCCTGGTCAAAGCCAGGTCTCTCTGAACAATTACCCTCATTTCTGTTCCCGGAAAGAAAAGAAACCAGATCTAAAAAGAGAAAAATCCTATTTCGCTGCTAGCATGGGAAGCAAACAGGCACTGCCTGTGCCAAAGAGCAGGGAGGTGATAATGCATCACTTGCCACCCCTGCAGGACTGGGGAGGGCAATGCCAGGGCCCAATGAATTCTCAGGGGGGCACCCATGCCCCGAGCTCCTCCCCTGCAGCACCCAGGTTAAGACGGGCCAAAGCTACCCTGTATCCCCCAGCCCCATCCCCTCAGTACCTTCGAGCACTTGATGTGATAGTGCAGGTAGTCCCGGAACGTGTGGATCAGGTTTATGGTGTTGTCTCTGGCAGCAGCATTGGTGTGACGGGGGAACAGCACTGAAAGAAGAGGGCAACGCAAACCGTTAGAGCCTCCAGAGGCTACCAAAGGGCTTCACGTTCCTCCAGTGCTGGTGGCTTCAAGGTGTGCTGCTCTGAATACCTGCTTTGCTCTCTACAAAGAGCCCTTTACTGTGACACATACCAAGACTAAGCAGCACTTGTGATTTTAAACACAGGGCTTTGCAGCACTTTTCCACGTCTCCTGCAGCAGCCTGGACACAGCTGTGCACTCTGGAGGACACAGGCAAGGCCAAGTGCCCAGAGATGATGGCACTGTAGGAAACTGCATGACGCTACTTCAGTGCTTGGGAGAAGCAAATGGAGGAGAGAGCTGGGAGGCAGACAAGGGTGGCCAGGCCGCTCAACTGATTTCAAGATCTAGACTGCCCTTGGATCTTGAAATCTGTTGTGGATCCCTGCCTGACAGCTTGTCAGCACCGTGACAGAGCCAGACTTGGTTACTGCAGGGGCCTGGTGGCTCACTCTTTCCACAGGCTGGTGCTGTGCTAAGCGTCCCTGATCCAAAGGCTGAAAGACCTTTTGTCTGGGTGATGATCTCACCTGGGACTGTCAGATCAGATAACAGGGAAATTTCATCTGGACAAGAATGAAGTCTTGCTCACTGTCCCAGACCTGCCATCAGACAGCGCTCCCATAGCTAATGAGCTGCCCTAACCTCAAGGCACCATTCCCAGCACAGGAGGAGGGCAGCACTAACTTCACCTTGTCCTGCAGTGTCTGTGCTCCACCTCTGAGCTCTGAACTGCAGGAATGCTGGCCTGAGAGACCCTAATGGCACATCCAACCATGACCTCCAATTTCTCTGGAAGAGACCTTTCCCTTTGAACAGGGCAGGGTTTGGACTCCTCAGCATTGCTGCCCAGGAGGAAGCGATGACTCTGCTGGCCTGCACCTCTGCAGGCAGGGGAAAGTGGCTCATCAGAGATGGAAATGTTTGGCCCAGAACAAAGAGGCAGAGCTGGAGAAGCAGAACTCACTGCCCTGCTCCTGATCTCCGACTGCCTCTGCTGATCAAGCACTGCACAGGTGCCTGCAGCTGGACAAGCTACAAATACACTTGCATGAAACCTCCCACAAGAAACCTCCAGTTTCTACAATATCACAGCAAAGCCACCCTTCTCTTGCTCCCAAATGCTGAACTTATTTTACAGGCAGACACTAAATGGCTCACTGTCCACTTCCATGCCTTCTGGCCCACAGCAGAGCTGAGGTGACCTGATACAGTGAAGGGACACACTGAAGGGGGCAGACAACGCAGACTGCAACTGCAGAATCCCTTCAGCGCCCAATGACCTGTTTGAAGACTCAGGGAAGGTGAATTCCTTTTTGTTTTTCATGCAGCAGGAACCTCTCTCCTCCCCAAGTGTCCCCACGCCTCAGAGCTGCCTGCTTACCAAAGGTGATGTAGCCAATATTGTCGCCAACAGCCGCGTCTGTGTCTTTCAGCTCCAAGGGCGGCTCCCTGTGGCTGAAGAGCACCTGTGGGGCTGTGTGACTGGCCCGGCGACCCTCCTTGAACTCCTGAACAAGACAAAGCGAAGGTGAGTCCCACTACGACACTCCACTGGGAAAGCAAACGGGGTTTCCCTACTCCCACAGCACAACTGAGCTGGAGGTTTCCCATCTTTCCCTGAATGGGCTGAGTCTATCAGGCCAAAGCTCTGGAAAACAATCTTTTTTCCCAGCAAAACCACACCAAAACGCATACTGTCCTGGGTTTACATGTGGCACTAGCACAGCCCCTCAGCTGTGGTGGCTTTCAGCATCACCCTTCCTACCGTGGGTGTTTTGTGGAAGGGACACCTCAGTCTGAAAAAGCACCTGAGACAGCACAGTTCCTGCCAGGTAAACATCATTAATGCTTCCAGCAGAAGTCAGCAGCGCCCATCAGCCCAGAGGAAAGGAAATTCTCAGAAAGGGCTGTGAGGTCTCCATTGCACTTAGCATAAAGGCTCTGCTGTTTGAGAAAGCACCTCCCACCAGGAATCTTTGCCTCAGCATTAAGAAGCACCTATAGCATTTGAAGCTTGTGTGCGAAGCCTGCTCCTCCTAACACTTCTCTACCTCGAAACAATACCTCCAGGCAAGGAGATCCCTTCCACCAGGGAACCTCTCTGACAGCAGCACAACCCCCACCTCCCATGAAATGAAGTGGGTCTGCATTTCAGGAATTATAGGACTGTCCCCCACATGGGGCTGGGAAAGTCCAGACAACAATCCCCTGGCCCAAGGCAGGGCAGCCTCCCCTCTGCCTCACTGTCCCCCAGCACAACCTACACATCATCAGCCACCCTCGACCTCTCCTCCCTTCTGAGCAGAGCTCACCCTGGGAAGGGCAGGAGCATCCATGCCACTTTTAGAGAACCCAGTAGTTCACTGGGGTTTCCTTAATGAAATGCTTAGCTTGCACTTCCGCCTGCTTATGCCAGAGGGTACAATGGTTCAAAAAGGCTTCACTGGTTAGTTAATGGTCAGATTTTCTCCATGAGAGCCCAGATGAGCAGCCACCATGCCTGACTGGGCTGTGTTATGCAAGAGCAATAGCTGGAGGGAAGGAGCCAGTGTGACTCAGAGTGGAAATTCTTGTGGCTGGGCAGGAGCAGGGTTTGCTGTTGTAAAAACCAAGAACTTGGGACACGGAGACTCTGGGAGAGCCGCTGCCTTGAAGGCCTGCCGCCTCCCTGGGAGCCTCACAAACCCTGTTTTGTTCACCTCATGCCTCCCTCCCTGTTTTAAAAGCTGAACTCCAGGCTGTGGGATATACTGGTGGGGAAAAGCTCAAAGCCAGAGCAGATGCCCTGCCTGTAGCTAAAGAAGACAGAGAGCAGAGCTACGAGATAAGACTCCCATGACAACACAGACCCTGTTCTAATGACCCCCAAACACAGATAAACCGGTATCCAGCAAAATGGGCCAGTAACTTGCTGTCCATGAGCCTGTCAACAGCATGGCCTGGCACCCCTGAATGGATGGGCTAAAGCTCCTCTAGCCCTGGAACACACTGCAGGGCCCTGCTCCCCAGCTGTGCCTGTGCAGGAGGCTCCCCAGGTGCT